TTTAGAAATGAAAAAGTTGTAATCTGTTTGAATTCGTACATCTGTGTTTGTTTTCAACACTGTTGGTTTATTTTTTAAATGTGTGTGTTTCTTTTACTAAGAATAAAAGTATTATGAGAATTCAAACTTGTTTACAAAAAATGGAATATTCATATTTTCATATAAAACGAGTGCCATCGTTTCTGCTGTCAGCCTCTGATAGATTACAGCTTGGATAAAGTAAACAGGATTTCAATAATTGTCAAACTCCGAGAAACTGGTCTCGGGTTCAGAGTTCTCAAAAGCTTTCATAAAGTTACTCAAGGTAACTGCTGACACACAGTGTTTCATGGCTAAAGCACATTTGAACTTTTCCAGGGATAGATTTGATGTAGATTAAGATATTAATTTCTGCTCTTTGGGATTGAATGAATAAGTGTCTTTCCTTGCAACGTGATAAAGCACCCCATGTGTTCAAAAATAAATGGGAAAGTATGGATATAAGGACATTTGTTGGCGTCTTCTGTATGAATGTCTAAAGGATTTATACATGAAAGGGTTTCAACTACAAGTCTATTTTAAATAGAGAACATTCTTGATTGTATCATACATAAAATAAATCAATACCTCAGAAATAACTAGAGAATTGTCTTTTCGGCAGTCTTGTAATGTTAATTTTATAAATAACTACTAAACTTGATAACTTGCCCTACTGTACTGCTCATTAGGTGGTGATAATGTGATAAGGTAACACACAAGGAAGTTGTTTACGTTCCTTTTACCCAGATTGAATGGTGACATTTTAGGATGATGGCAGTTATCGTAGGATAAATAATACATTTTCAGCGCTTTCCTGGATTAAATGAGGAAAGTTGAGTTTGGAAAGTAACATTTTGACCTACTGTAAGGTGAGCACCATTAATGAATCTGTCATTTTAAAACAATCAAATTCAAATTGTGAACTGATTGCCAAATTATTCTTTTTGATTTTACATTTTCCTTGCGTATTTCTTCTACATTCTACTAGGTTTATATTCCTTGAAAAAAATTATAAATCAAAACCGTAAATTACATAATATAACATTGATCTACAAGAGCATGGAGGCAATAAACAACAATAAGTAGTTTCACAAAAAGATCCCCTGCAACTATTTTGATGATCACGACTTTCGGATTTTTGTCCGGTTTATATTAAATGAAGCTGATTATCTTTGGATTGTAGATATACAAAACAAGACATTTAAAAACATCAGCTTGCACTGTGTTTTGCAGCCCTATAAGCATGTCATCTTGTGTTTTTTTTGTGCAATGTATGAAGATTAAGTTCTGAATAATTTCCTAATTGTAAAACCATTCATTAATACGTGAACTTGAGAATCAGACGAATACGGCATGGCGTGGCCAAATCATATGAAAACATGTCCTGTTGCCATGCAGGTTATCCTGGTAAAGTAATGCTTATAGGATTGACATGTGTAGTTAACCATTTGTATTAAATTCTGTCCTCTCTCTTTCAGATGCAACTGTCCCGGCACACTGACATTTACCTACTGACTGACATGGACACTGACACTGGTTGAGAAGAAGGAGGACGAGATGTGAGCAGATGTTGATCTGATGACCCGACAGTAGCGAGGGACCACTGAAACCCGGCCAGTATGTGCTAGTCTTCACCTCTCTGTGCCTAGCATGTCTTTAAAGTGTCCTTAAAGTACACACTGTGTTGTACACCCAGTAATATGTAATCCAATTGAGGATGCTTTTTATTGTAAATGTCTTGTCAATCTCAGCCAAATAATGGTTTAATATCTCGGAAAGATGTTTGTTCCTGTAACAAAGCAAACTACATCAAGTTTAAAAATTAAAAACACCTCTTAAAGTCCAATATAACATGTTTTGCCAACTAGACAATACTGTGAGGAACATGCTTTCTACACAGACATTGCACAATAATAAACTTACAATTCCACATCATTGAGATAACAGTGAATTAAATTCAGAGGGGTTCAGAGACAGTCAGCTGTTTTCAGAGGATGCTGCACTTAGTGTGCCGCGGACCTAAAATATTTACAGCACTCTGCACATTTCATTCAGTCTTCTTGGTTTAGCTGAAATGACATTAGAAATATATATTTATAAATTTGCCATGGTGACAGAAGGTTCTGAAAAGTCTATGAATGTCAAGATGTTATTTAAAACATGTTTTTCATTTGGTAGGAACTGAATAGCTGTCCTTGTTTAATTGTATGTGATTCAAATCTTTCATCAAGATGTTATTAATATTAAACGAATAAATTGTTTAAATTAATATATTGAATATCTATATAACCCTTGACAAATATACAAGGTATTGATGTGTGTTTATTCACACTTTTTCCTGTGTTTTATACTATATGGAAGAGTGACAGTTTAATGTCATTTTATACACAGTTATGCATCTATTTTAGGTGCTTGGAATTCTGTTTCTTGGAAATAAAGTCTATATATCCTTTGTATGTTTCCACAACATATTTCCAATTATTTGAAGGACTGGCTGATTTTAAATTATTCAACAAATGCCAGTGTGTAGGATTTGAAAATGCATTATATTGGTGGTCTTTGGGTGTAGTAACTTAAAGACACTGTGACAGCAGACACTCACTTAAAACGAAATCATATTACATGTATTCAGCAAATGTATACATTCCCCTATCATTTATTTATCATTTATTTTTGTCATAAATGTAAAGTTAATGACTGATCATTTCTAAATGCAGCACTTGAAGTTTGATCCCTAAATAGTTTGCCTCCTATTGATAGATGTTACATCTTATTTATCACACATACATTTATATATTTATATGAATAGAAAAATGTGGTATCTCTATTATATCAACTTAATTTACTCTTGTAAATCTCCTTCTCAGTTAAGCTTAGGTCAGTTTGTCTGAGATGTTTTTATTCATGTGTAGTTATTTTTAAAAAAAAGTTTTGATAAATGCCTATTTGGCCTGTACTGTATGATGTTTAGTTAAGTTTAGCATTTTAAAATGTTTGCTTGGCTTCTATTTTGGGATATTATGTAGATATAGATTTTCTTTATTGAGTTAAACTTGGGCAGGGGTGGGATGTGTGCTAAATGCCATTATGTTACAGAACAAGATTGCATTGAAATGAATGTGGAAGAACAAGATAGAAATTGGCACTGTGGTGCAAAAGAGTGAGGTACATACAGTAAATGGTTTAAATGTGAAGTGAAGCAGAACAACACGTGTTCATTTGATCTCAGGGCTTCCCGTGTCCTGGCACAAATTTGAGTACTTGAAGTTTAATAGAGGAGACAAGTGTAAGCAAAAGTGTGCTTGTGAACTTCACTCACTTGACACCTTTTATAAGCAGAAGAAAACTGAAATTAAAATGAGAATAGGACAATGAAAATGATATGAAATATATATCAAATTAATTCTAAAAACTCTTTAGTGGTTAGATGGATTTTGCCGGTTTGGGCTGATACATACACCAAACCTTTGACCAAATTCTAAACTGAACTTCTGTGTTACTGTGCAGACGACCAGTGTGCCTCCTGAATTCACCACTGTGCCTCATTTCTACAATCTATCACACACTATTCTGTCAAAAAAACATTTTTTAAAACCAATACAAATCATTGTTGTTTCAACACAACTATATTATATTTAGTAAATCAATAGCATCTTTGTTAAACTATGTGTAGTAGGGTTGAGGTGTATTGTGTGTTCAGATATTGTTTTGTGCATTTTTCATCATACTTTTTGAAAGACTAATATTTTTGTTAGGAAATATATATATTTTTTTCACTGCAAGATGTATCATATTCTTATGTGACCATTTATATGATTATGATGACATGTCATGCCAAAACAAACACCAAATATTTGTGCAAAAATTGTTTTTTTTAAAGATTCTCCTGAAAAAATATTTGTTTTCATTGATGGGCTAACAGCAGAAGGTAATGCTTAGCAGTTTGCAAATGAATTGGAAATATGTCACTGCAGGCCACATGCATTTGGTCAGATGTATGCCTCTTTATTTGACCTTCAGCCTGTCTAATAATCTATCTTCTGATAAAATGTATTAAACAATTGGTTATACATTTGTTGTTTTATCGCTGCATCATGTGTTGCATTGTAAGTAGTGTAAAGGGTCTGATTATGGGAACACTTGTTTGTATTGTCAGCGACCATTTTTCTGGTTCCATGGTCAGACAGGAAATTGGTACTGTGAAAATTCAAACTTCACACAATGGTTTTCTGATAGGGTTCTTCTTTTGTCACCATATCTGTTTATTTTCAATGACCTCACTGCAATCTCTTTTATATGTACAAAAAGTATTTTTTCTTGTTGAATAAAAAAGTTAAAATACCTAAGAAATGTTGTTTATCAATCTGTGATATGTCTTATTTGAGTGAAAAACATCCCTTGTGTTCGGGAATAATTCTCCTGGACTCCTAGATATCTAACCTTTTTGCCCTTTGACGTTTATGACCAACCCTGACGTCTGTTATCTCCCTTAAGGAAAGGGGCTGCTTCAGCCATATGTTGTTGTTCCCAGTTTCTGACCGGGCAACTCTCGGTCACAAATGGTTTATTGTTGTGAGAACGCTGGAACACTTCCTTCTCGGTGTTTGTGGACTCCAAGGTGTGTAATCTTCGAGGCCATAAGTGTCAGATGCAAGTAATTCAGTGTTCCCAGCTGTTTAGGCTATCTCTTCAAATATGTTGATTACTCTCTGTGAACCAGTTAAAAGGTCTAGCAAGAGAGAGGCTCTTCAGAATTGACGTGGCAACTCTCCCGTGAAGTCAGAACCTCTGGCTCTGGGACTTGTGATGTGAATCCTCCGGCCGATACTCCTAAATAAACCATCAGTGTTTGACATCAAAGCTCCAGCTCACCCCGTGTCTCCTTCATGAGTCGGTGACTCCCACTGCATTGCTACACAGAAGTTTCCCCCACACCTTGGGTATGCTGGGTTTGAGTAATATAAATCCTATAGTAAAACATGTATTCACACTCTGCTGCTTATTCTGCAGCCCTGCTAAGCAAATCTTTATGTTGCTTTTTATTTTGTTTGCAGAAATTAGTTCAGATCAGATAGATATAAGTTTTAGACTACTCATTGCCCGAAATGTGAACATTTACTTAGTTGTAACACCGTTTAATAAATGTAGAGAATATAGGAAAGTAAAATATTTGGTAGGAAATATATTCACTGTCTCTGAAGAACCAATGCCTATTTAAAAGTTCTCTGAAGTGTAAAACAATAACTAAATACAAATGTTACAAATAAATAAATAAATGTCAATTTAATAAAACATACAAATAATGTAACAACTAATGGTTGAAACGTAAACAGTTATAACATTACTTTGAATTAAAAGCCAAATTAAAAAGCTGTATAGAAATATTGTCTCTCTTGGTTTAGTGGGCCCTTGATAAGTGTCTATAGGTAGATGGCTTAGTTAGATGTCATCAAAGTGTATGTGACGTTTCTCAGGTCAGCTAAGCATCAGACTAAAATATTCCTTTACATATATTGCAAAGAAAATGGTGTGTGTTTAGCCCCCACAACACCACAATGATCCTGCACAAGTGTTTGTCTTCAGTTCATTTCAGTCGAAAACTTATAGTTGAGCCGCCATAAAACCAACAACATCCCTCAGTAGTGACGGAGGTCTCGTCTGTGCTGAAAGGTTACCTTGGTTAATTTACAACACTAGTAGCCGTTGGCATCTTCCCGGCCACGCGAAGGCGCTGTCTCGTGCGCGGCTCCCTCCTGTCCAGCGGCTCCGGTGCCTACGTCACCACATTCCACTGAATGCGATGTAACAGCGTCATGAACAGCGTGTAAAGCGTGAAGGTGTCTCACAAAACACTACAAGAAACATGTAAGTTCAAGGAAAACGTGACAACATTTGTGTTTTTGTGTCATGTTCTTTTTCTGGTTAATGGTAGTCCGACTAACAACATTATAGTAGCTAGCGGTGGCTGCTGAGGCTTAGCTAACTTCTTACAGTCACTTCATTGTTTCTTGTGACGGATAATAACACAGCCTGTTTGTTGTGGTGTAAACTGTGTTTAGATGCAAGATGAGGGAAGCGGCCATCCTGTTCACACCGTGTGTGTTTCTGTGTCTCTTCCTGAGCTTCAGCCAGGCAGCAAGACAGGGACAGGACATGAAATGTGGAGGTATGTGTCTGTATCTTAAGCTCGCTCTTTGTTAAGAACAGAAACGTCCTAATGCCTGTCTCCTCTCCCCCTGCTCCCTGCAGCGTGCAGGGCTCTGGTCGATGAGATGGAGTGGGCCATCTCACAGGTAGATCCAAAGAAAATGATCCAAACGGGATCCTTCAGGATTAACCCAGACGGCAGCCAGTCCATCAGAGAGGTGAGGATGCAGCACAGCCACGTAGTGACGTGGCCAAAACCCCCTCTAACCCACTCTGTAGGATGCACCACTTTAAAAAGTCTCATACATTTACCAGACCTGTCTCCAATCTTATATATTAAAGCTTGTTTTATTTTTAAAGCAGGGTTGCAATAATTGAAAGTTTTGAATGATGATTGATGCAACCAGGTTCCCCTGGCCCGCTCTGAGGGAAACCTCCTTGAGCTGATGGAGACTGTGTGTGAGAGGATGGAGGACTACGGTGAGCACAGTGATTCTTCCACAAACAGGAATTCCTACATTAGGATAAAGTCTCGGACTGGTGGAGCGATGGACCTTTCTGAGGCTAAGCTGGATTCAAGAGTTACAGGCAGTTTAAAATTTGCAGTAAGTAAAACATTTAATCGAATATTCAAAGCAGGCACCTGTGTTCATGCCCTTGCATAACATTCCTTTTTTGGTATTGATAATAAACATTTTGGATGCAACCCACAGCCTAAAGTCGTGTGACTTTTACTATGTGCAGCTTGTAACAGTTTTTTTAATGTTTTTCTCCAGTGTGAAACAATTGTTGAGCAGCATGAAGATGAAGTCATTGAATTCTTCGGTCACGAGACAGATAATATCAAAGACAAACTCTGCAGCAAGAGGACAGGTATGAATCATTTTGATTGATATTTTATTTTTATTTTTTAATGCTGAGTTTTACATCTGATCCCTCTGGACCCCAAGCAATGCTTTAAAGTAAACATGCCGTGTATGGCGGTTTACAGGTCTATTGAACATTTTGTTCTACTGTAGTGATTGTATTTAATTTAATTATGTTCATGTCCCGTTTGCTTTGCAGACCTCTGTGATCACGCTCTGGAAATACCCCATGACGAACTTTGATATCATCTCACCATCTGAAACAGAGATGTCGGTAGCCGTAATGTTTTCAGTTGTCTCATCACCAGTTTACATTATGGGTAGTGGTAGAAGATGTATACAGTTACTATGAAATATACCTAAAGATCCACCTGAAAATAAAAATGTTGCAATTTAATAGAATTGAGAAGAATAGAATAGATTTAAGGACCATTTTGTCATTTTTGTAATGTATCTCTTTGGACTATCCTGTCACTTATTTATATACTGTAAGTTATTTTACAATTTTTTTTTATAGTCTGTTTTATATAAAAATTTCCTCCACATACTTTTCATCAGATAAAACTGTGAAACTGCACAAATGAAGTTATACTTCTGAGTGCATAGCTACATGATTTCTTACAGGATTAACTGTACTTTTCAGCAATATCATTGAATTACACCGAGGTGGAAATGTGGTCAATTGGTCCTTAAATCTTTATTCATTTGCATTGATAAATCCAGGAAAAAGTGCTTTGATGCCTACTCAACAATGAAAGTGTCATTTTACAGTTCTAGTTTATTCTTTATTGAATGTCGACAAGATCACAGGAATAACTTTCTCATGTACAATTTGAGAATAATTAGTTTTACCAAAGGACAAAATATGCCTTTGATGTCAACACTCTTGAAATATGAATCCCATGTAGGCCCCTTGCTATTGATTTCATATTTGTCTGAGTCCTCTAATGTTTACAGTGATTTTTTTCCAGAAAATGGTTTACTTTCCCAACATGCTGCCCTTCTGATCCAGAGCAGAACATATCTTTATACCAACACAAAAAGTAAAAAAAATTAGTTTAAATAGTTTATAGATTTATGAGTATGTAATCCAGCTACAATCACCTTTAATCACAATATTTAAAGCGTTTTTTAAATTTGTATTTCAAGCACCAAGAGTTAAGTTCTGTTTCCTCTTGTCTAGTGAAACTCCAGTGTAACGCCACCAGAGTGTGCTGTCGTCCACAATCTGATAGTTGAGTCCAAATGATTAAGATCTCAGTTGGAGAGTCTTCATGCTGTACTGTAGATGTAGATTAAAAGTATATTTGGTATCATGTATTTTCAATGTTTGAAAAAATCCGAACATGCTGTCTTGTGAACATTCTTCTGATTTACTGATTACTTTTTATATATAAACTTTGTAAGACCTTTGCATCTGTTTTGTCTTTAATTAACTATATATTATATGTGTGTCAATTTATCACAGGATTACAGTTCATTATTGACCTTGGACACCAGATTGACTTTTTAAGGATTTGTGTTAATGCACTCTATTATTTTTATTTACTTATAATACAGAACAATGGCTAGATTTCTGCCAGAGATATCACCACACCATTAAATCACTTCAAATAATTAAATATTATTTTACTTCCACTAATTTCACACCCATTGATTTACCTTAAACATTGTGGAGAAGGGATTTTAGAAGTTTCTCCACTTAGTCAAAGTTCGGAAAAAGGCCCGCCCCAGCACCCTTATGATGATCTTATCATGATTCCATAAACACTCAACAATTAAAACACAATATTAAAATGTCGTTGTTTGACATAACTTCAGATCAAACACGGAAAAAGGTCTAGATTTTAAAATCAGATAACAGTGAAATCCTCCAAAACTACTGTATCTCTGAACCATCTCTTCACTGAACCACACACAATTAAGCTTTACTATTTGATCTGATTTGGTGTCACGAATGTCAAATTCCTACAATGCTATAGTAAAACAACAAGTACATCAATAGTTATTACTCAAAAATAAAGCTCAAACAGATTTCACCGAAAATCTGCTTAATTGCTTCAGACACAATAACATTAGATATCATTGTTAGTTAAATATAATGGACCAAACATTGTTCACGTTTTATTTTACAGACTCAATTTCAATGATTGCTTGATCTGAAACCTCTGATGTCATGAAAACCACACTGTCATTTTCTTCTGGCCCTGTTTCTGTCATTTCCACTGCCCTGCTGGCTATATTCTCCACCTCCATTGGGTACGTTTCCTTAGCTGCATCTTTTACTTCAGCACAGCTACATTGCTCCTCCTCAGCCACTTGAAACCTATCGTCATCACCTGTCTTGCTTTCTGTCCCATCATCAAGAGGCGTTTCCTCAAACTCGTCTTCTTCTGCTTCAATAACGGTGTCCCCAGAGCCGTGGCTGCTGAAGCTGCTGCAGGACAGAGTGTCTTCTTCAACATATGCACTTGGCTCTTCAGGACGCAGATCCTCCTGGATTTGTTCCACCTCTACATCCTCACCACTTCCTGCTGTTAAAGCATTGTGTTGCCATGATCCATCAATGACTATCCTCTTTGATGATTTTATGCCCACTACCACGTCTGGTAAACCCAAGTCCTCCCCTCCATTCTCTGGATCCCACAACTCACTTACTTCCTCCTCCTCATTCTCAGAGTCAGGCGCTGTATGTTTCCTAATACGATTCACCGCATCCCACAGAGACATTGGATACTCAGGCTTTTCTTTGAGTGTTAAGTCAGGGTCATAACTTCCACTTTCCTCTTGTGGATGAAGACTTGAAGAGCTGGAAGGCAGGTCTGAGGGTGAATCAGTGCAAGATGAAGAAGAGAACTCAAGTGGTTCTTCACAAGAGTCCAGATGAAGAGGAGGAGGGACTGTTTCTTGAATGCCAGCAGCGGTAGCAGCATCAGGATTGAGAGCTGAGGGACAGACTGAGCTCATTTCCAAAAGAGAATCAAACTCTGAGTCTGTCTTGTTTGATGTGTTTGGTGTAGAAGAAAGCTCTGATGGTGATAGCACATCCGAAGCTGATTGAGACACCTCGCAGCCTGAGTCTGAAGGTGAGGGAGGAGAAGAGTGAAAGGGTTCAGAGTGTGGTTGAATGTCCATTTTGATCTCTATTTGAGATTGAGAGTCATTTTCTGTGGATTGGGTCTGTTCCTGAAGATCTGTAGGGTCCTCATCTGCGTCTTTGTGTGATTGCTCCTCAGTCATTATACTCTCTTGTATATAAGAATCCTTTTCTTGGCCATTATCAAATGTCTGCTGTAAAGCCTCTGTATGAGTTTCACTGTCAGTTACATGTTCTTGAGATATTGACTGATCCAAACAATCTGTAGGATCCTCGTTGACTTCTTCTGGTAGCTGCTCTTCAGTCATACACGTCTCTTTAACACAAGCAACATCCTCTACTTGGAAACATTCAAGTTGTTGCTGCAAAATGTCGACCTCTTTGGCCTTTTCTTGGGTTGGTTCAACTGTTTGTTCCATGATGGGGTCTGTAGGACTCTTATCTGCTTCTTTTGTTTGTTGTTCATCCGTGACATCGCTCTCTTTCACAGAAGCAGCATCATCTGTTTGGCCACTTTCAATTTGTTGTTGTGACACTATCTCTTCTGTTATTTCTTTTGCCACGTCCTCAAAGGTGTCACTGATCTCATGTATTAGCTGTGACGTTTCACCCTCTTCATCCTGTACCTCGATATCGGACACTGATTCTGTAGTTTGAATTATAAAATCAAGAGGAGAAGGGGTTGGGGGAAAGTCAGTAGATGCAGGGGATAGAGAGGATGGGTTTTGAGGAAGAGAAGAGTTTTCAGAGCAAGGAGCATGACTTTCTGCAGAGTTGAGGGCAATCAACTCAGGGTCAGGACCCTCCTCTATTTCTGAATTTGAAATATGCAAAAGATGTGTAGGATCAGAAGATGAGAGCATGAGAGGTGGATCAGGGCTTGGTGCTTCAAAGTCTGGAATGGGTGAACACAAAGAAGAATTAGAGAGGTTGTTGAATGGCCAGAGACACTGAGAGGGATAATGGGGAGAGGTATCCTTTTCTTCCTGCTCAGTTGTAACATGTTTAAGGGGATTCTCTGTCATTTCAATTGCAGATAAAGCTTTGATGTCACTTTTGAGTTGTGAGTCAATGTTGTTCTCTTGAGACGTATTAGACACCTGATCCTGAGGTCCTGCACAACCCCTACCATCTTCGATGTCCGCCTGGTCATTGGCCACATCATTCTCTTGCGAACAAACATCAACCTCAGTTTTGACAGCCTCAAACTGATTCGGTTCCTCTTCTCTTTGGTCATCTGGGATTTGTTCATCAATGTCTGTATCTTTAATAGTAGAAGGTTTAACCTCCTGGTTCTCCACACAAAAGCCCAGCAATGATGATGCATCTTCAGGTTGCTGCATAATAATGCAGTCGAGAAGAGGGATTCCTAAGATCCTTTCAGCGCGCTCCTCCAACGTTTCCTTTTCAAAAACGGATGAAAAGGACATGCCGAGGGAAGATATTATACTTTCTTCCTCGGGTGCCTTTTTCTCCATAGGATCTGAGTCAAATTCGTTCTTGAGCATGTCATTAATGTGGAAAGGCTTTGGTTCTGTGTTGAGGTCATCCTTATCCATCTGACTGTTTGATTCGAAACATTCAGTAGAGGTGGTCGATTGAAGCGGACTGTGTTGGGTGTGTAAATACAGAACATGCTCTTTCTTAGGAGAGGGAATCTGCTCCATTTGAACACAAATACAGGTTGCGTCGATAAGCAGTGGATTATTACTGTCCTCAGATTGTGGGTTTTTCTTGATGTCAAGTTTCCTTACTTCGACATCAATTGGATGGACTTCACCAGATTCCCCTTGGTTGAGCAGAACATCTGATTCTCGGTCCTCACTGTCTGCTTTATAACACGTAGATGACCTCTCAGTTTCAGTCCTGCTTGAGAAAATAGGCTCCCTCCACAAAGGATATTTTACTGGCACTGACTGAGCAACTTGTCTCCCAAATGCAGAATCAAAATTATTTGTTTGCGCTTCTGCTGGAAAAAGATCTGTCTTAGCTATAGTATCCTCAAGCATCTCACTTTCTACACAGGTTGGTGCCTCCCTCTTTGTAGCATCAGAGGTATTTGACTGCTCTGTGGGTGTTGTTGCTCTGAAGTCTACCTCATCAGCAAGTTTGTGTTTTTGGTTATAGCCACTATTGTCCCATAGACCTTTTGAAACACTTCTCAATTCTGTGTTTGTTTGCAAGGAACAAAGTGGCAAAGAAGGGGTTTCTGTGGTGCCTACTATTCTCGACACCAGGCAAAATATGGTCAGTCCGCCTGTCTTTTTGTTTAATCTAAACTTTCTTCCTTCAATGACTTTTGAGTATGGCTCCTCCTCGTTAATCTTTGTATTCTCAACTACTTGTAACACTTGTGGCTGCTGCAGATACGACATACCCTCGTGCTGCATGTGTGTTTCCTGGGCACTAAAATGGCTTCTTGCCTGTAAAGCACCTGTCTCCTTTTGTTTGTGTTTTAGTCCTTCAAGCTCTGGAAAGCTTTTTAGCATCCCAGCTTGTTTTATAAACTGCTTTTTCTCCTGCAAATCTACACAGACATCCTGCTTTCTGAGTTTAGGCTGTGACAAGTAGGTTTGTCTCTTACCTTCCTGCTCCCAGCTCACATCACACTGGTTCAACACAGGTGAACCTTTATGTGGGCTGTCATAGGGAGGAGGGGCAATGTATCCAGGAGGTTGGCTGAACATCCTCTGTTGGTAGCCAATCTTTTCTTTCATGTCCAACATGTTGCTTGTGTCGCTTGCAGGAGTTTGTAATGTATAATAGTTTGGAGCTTGTTGTCTGCCGCCTCTGTCCCACAGTCCTGATTCTCTGATGTTTGCAGATTGTCTGGCTTGTTCCAGCGCTTCCAGACGAGGATCTGTCCCACTCCTGCTCTCCCTCCCAGGAGCCCTGTTGCTCTCCTGAGAGGCGCCCCTCATCTCTGCCTCTATACGTCTCCTCCTTGGAAGTGAATGGCTGTATCGTGTTGCCCAAGCTTCCAGCTCCCGATAGCTGCTGTCGCTCCTCTTTGCAGAAACGTCCGTGTTGTATCGGACAGGACCACAGGGCTCCCACCTTCTCTGCCACTCCTCCCTGAGAAGTCCTCTCTCATATTCCCTCGCTGATTGAGCTGCTGTCCACTCTCTGTCTCTGGCTTCCTGCGGCTGATGGTCTCCCTGGTCCTGGTGCTGCTGAGCATGCCGCTCTAGAATAAAAGGGAAGTGAGAAGATGTGGCAGTGGCCAGATCTCGGTCGGTCCATTGAGTGTACTCGTGTGGAGCCCCTCCTGATCTTGATCCCGGTACAGTCCAGTAACTGGACTCCCTGCTTTGTTCCGGCTGATCACCATAGTACAGTGGATAATGGGGTACTTGATGTCTGTCATGGTGGCTGCGGGTGAAATGATGGAAAATGTGTCAGTAAATTAGAGTAGCTCCAGCAATGTCCTTCTTCAATATCACATTTAATTTGTATGTGTTTTAGAAACTCATCACAAATGGCTCTTTTTACTATCACCTTACATCATAATATTGTCGAATGCTGATATCCCAAAATTTAAAATAGTATGTTGCTTAAAATTATTCAGTTTATATCAGGAATGTAAAACAGCCATCTATAGATATTCAAGTAAAGTATCGTCAGTTGTTGTCTTAGTCAAGTAAAGTACAAATGAAATTTACATTTTAAACGTATTCACAATTCCAATGATTTAAAGAGTAGCAGAGCACTACACTCACCTATGTGAACAATTTCTCCCAGAAACAGTTGCAAATTTGGAGTATAGAGGCGACTGTCCCTGATTCTCTCGCCAGAACTCCATCTTTTGGTCTGATGCACAGATCTGAATCATGGTAGACAAAGGATTATTTATTTGAAGCCTTACCTGAAATTCAGATAATGGAAATGGAAAGATGGATACACGTACCTTTAATTCAAGTTTTCAGATACATTTCCTTGATGCTCATGAGGGGATAAGAGGTCTAATGAAATCCACAAACAGGAAAACTTGTTTTAAAAGGACGCTGGTTTTAGGTCCCCCTCCCACTCCACACACACACACACACACACACACACACACACACACACACACACACACACACACACACACACACACACACACACACACACACACACACACACACACACACACACACACACACACACACACACACACGTGCACACACTCACACTCCCATGGCACTGTAGCACATCCTCCTGGAATTTTATAATTAGGTTTTTAAATGCCCAACTTTAGCTTCATAATTTCTCTTTTTTTCTCCTTTCAAATCTTTCTACTAAATGCATGAAGCAAACTAATCGATTTAGTGCAAAAAGAGACAATATACTTTTTTATTTTATAATTGGCAGGGTTTCCTGTTTGCTCATACATCACTCTGGTCTACATCAACATTCTTCAAATGCAGTTTTCTTAACTTTCCCCAAATAATCATGAATGAAAACAAAATCAGTGATCCGCACTTTTGCATGGCACTCGCGTGGGAGGCGTGATGGCGAGCAAACTGTGCATGGAGATAGTGATCTGCTGTTTTGTCGGCTGAATTGTAGCGGAGGGAGAGACAGGCTGTCTCCCTTTCTTTGAAACTCTGCAGCGTAACAAACAGGCTTTCCTTCTGTGAACAGAAATGCTGTACATCAGCAGAGAGCAGGAGAGAGGGGATGAAGTGCGTACAGACAGCAGGCTGCAGGGAGGGCAATCTGTTGATGTTGACAGAATAGTTGGGTGGGGATGAACTTTGTTTCAGGTTTTAAGTTTGAGAATGTTATTTTTTATATATTAGACCCAGGTTTCGAATTAATGTCAAGACTGAGCTGACGTAAACCTGCAGTAGTAATCACAGTTTAAGTTTCAGTAATAAGAAACGTTTTGTATCTTTCTGAACTACAATGCTTGATCATGATAATGAAGATGTTTGGTGAGGATGGGTTTTGTTTTTCGATCTAAAGCCTCTGAAATGTATTTTATTATAACATTAAATATTCATTACTACTGTATATGAGCCACAACAACACAAATCAATGACTGTGTCGGATTGTGCGAGTGTGGTTTGATATCTGATAGTAAGTGGCTCAGCAACGAGTTACAAATAATCCAAACATGTCATTCAAAAGGGTTTTAACCCTGATGCATGCAGGATGTGATGCTAAAAGATACAAAAATACAGACATATTTTCTAAAAGTACATATATCTTTTATAACTTTGGTAGAATATGTAGAGTTCATGTAGGACCCGGTCACTCAGTGAGCAGCTAATGAAGAACATTAGGTTTTCAGGGCCTTTAAAGGGACAGTTCACCCCAAAATCTGAAATTAAAATGTTTGCATTTATCTGTAGTGTTACTTTAAATCTAGATGGTTTGTTTGTGAGATTGTTGGCAATATATGCTGTTGAAATGTCTGCCTTCTCTCCATTATAATGGAACAAGATATATTTTGGCTTGTACTGCTAAAAGCGCCAACACAAAACATTTTAAAAACTCAAAAGCAATGTGTCTTTAATGACCGAGTAAATCAAGATAATTGTGAGTTACAATAAAATACATTGAGCATGATAATGACGACATAAAGTTATAATGAAAAAATATAAACTCATAAGAAAAACCTGACAGGTGATTATGAGCCTGAAGTGGATTCCGTTACGGTAAAAACAAGTTGCTACAGATTGTATATCCAGATCATTGTAACAAGATGTAGTTGTGACAAGTTGCAGCGCGAGACACCCCAGGTGAATAGGGTAATTTTTTTAACTTAAAGGTATCAGCTAGAAATTTCTCCAGTTAATTACTTACAATAAGGCAATTGTCTTTTGTATTACAAGTTTTCTGAAATAGCATGTTTAAATATGCAAATTATCCATTATCTCATTAAATATGCACATATTTTAACACATTTCAGGAATCGAAATCTGAATTTTGGATATAGCCAGATTAAAAATTATTGTTTAATTTTGTAGTCATATTAGTATCTAAGGCTTTTACAGAAGGGATATTGGATATCTCTTTTTATCACTCCATATATCAGAAAATACTGTCAACAGCCCTAAAATATCCATTTTCGCCATGTTTTTAGGTATACAATGTTGTATAATTCAGGCTATGAATTATATATGAACAAACCCTTCTGTAAAAGCCTTCATAATATTGATAGGAATATAACTGGAAGGTTTGGTGTATGTACGTGCTACTGAAGTTGAAATTTCGAACTCAGAGTAGGAGAAAAAACTCATTTTGAGAAAACGACCTTTAAAGATTGCAGTGAGGCGCTAGCTAAACCTTCCTGTTCTTTGGATGACAGCTTGCGCATCGACGCACTCCGTGAAGGTATTTCATGTTCAGGGTCATTTTTTTTAAATAACCTTGCTTCGTGCAAGTGGCAATTGTTGTCGTCTTCTCTGTGAACGTTTTTTTCGCCGTTCTTTTGGCATTTTGAGATTTCAATTTCTAGCTGAATGCTAACCAGGAAGTGTTTTAGCACACCACGTGACGCATCTGAACGAATCACGTTGTCAGAAATTGACACCAGCCAATGAGATTTCGTTTCTTGGTTTAAGACCCCTTTGTGCTTTCACGATTGGTTGCTGATACAAAGGAAATGACGATATTTGGATCCGATGAGATTGTGCAGGAGAGACACAGCTTTCCAGCGATACCTCTGTTGACATGGTGCACACAGCGGTCGCGGTACTTTATGTTACGTTAGAATGCTAACTTTTGGTGAATTTAGGAGAAATCTACAGACGCAAATAGACAAACTATAGTAAAAATAAACACTTAAATGTGTATTTTGTACGTTTTCCTTCCAAAAGCCTGAAAGAAAACATGTTATGGAATCAAAATAGCACAAAATCTCAAAATTGACCAGTACTTGAAAAACGATGTTTTTGCCTGCCGTGTCTCGCCTTAAACTAAAGTAACATTTGCTTTAAATGCGTTCTACCTATTTTGGGTTGAAGACTGACATTAGATAATCCAAGATGATAGATGTTCATTTTGTATAACACTTCTTTAAAAATAAATGTTTACTAAAGGCACAAATGTTGATTACAGTAACACAGCCAAGTCTTGCAGGTGGTCCCTGCTGTCACTGGTCTTTCTTCAGGGATGCCTTGTAGATGTTAATGTTTTGATCGTCATCATGCTGCACAAGCTCCACATTAAATATTCTTGGGAGATATTCTTCAAAGAAACCTGAAGTCTCATGCTCTTCTCGCATTTTGGACGAAAGATATGCCACGGCTCCGTTCTTACACAGATGAGCTAGTGTCTCCTTTAGCAGAGGGAAGGTCTCTGGGAGGTACATAATATCTGCACAGAGCACAAGATCCCAGTTAGAAGAGAAGTCCATGTGGTCCAGAGGAAGGACATTGGGAAGGGATGTGGGCCAACCACTGGACGGCCTGTTAGCAGAGACGTTGGCCTGAAGCTGTGGGAGAACCGTAGGAAGGTCTGTGAGGGTCAACACTGCACCTGGAAACAATCAGAACCATTTGAGTCCTATGTGTTGTCAATAGGCTTGTCACAATAACTACTTGTGTCAGACAATATTTAGTTTTTGTTTAAATAACTGTGATTAACAATATTATGTGATTTTAAAACTATCTTATGCCACTGATATAATGATAATATGAATCTGAAAGGGAATGATTGTGCCAGAGATTGCAAACAAGTTTACAGTAATTAACAGTCATAAAAGAAAAGTGTATCGGTTATAACACTAGATAAAGAGAGTTTAATGGGTAAGTAAACAAAAAAAAAAGTAGAAAATTAAGATAAAAAGCACTTACACCAGTACAAAACAGACTAACAAAAAAGTAAGATGCATTTAGTAAACTAAAAAAGTAACGTATAATGCGCATGATAGAGAGTAATGTTGGCAATGATATTGAAAAAGTAATAAAGAGGAACATTTGACAGAATATTGAAGAAGCAATATTGCACATGATATGGATTTATTATTATCATGGTGTAGATATATTATTATTGTTCTCATTGTCCAATGTTTATATGTTTTGATTTACAGAAAGATGCAGCAAATAAAAAAAAAAGGATATATATTCAGGTACTTAGACATTCTCAGGATGTTTAACAGTGCTGGTTAAGTGACAGCAGCACCTGCTGTAGTACCTGCAGCAGGTCAGCAGCGCCTCTGGTGGAAAACTGAGGCTAGGCTTGAGAGTGAGCTAAATAGAGAGACCTATCCAATGGACAAGCAAACATAGCTGAAAACAAGCCACCGGGTAATTTTCAGGAGCGTAAAATGCACTCATAATTTTTATTCAAAAAACGAATAAAATAGAAATGAAAGGTAACAACAAACCGAGCCGTGCTGCCAGGATGCCCACCACCCCGGTCCCTGCTCCCAGCTCTATGATGCACTGCCCTCTCAACTCCACAGACTGCTCCTCCAAGTAACCACCAGAGCCGGACCGACCTATTAAGCGACATAAGCGGCCGCTTAGGGCCCCCAGCCACTAAGGGCCCCCTAGCAATTTTTTAAAAATTGTTTTATCTCAGTACACCGTCGCCTTGATAAATATGTTTAATTAATTTTGTTAATATGCCTAGATTGCCTACTCTCAAAGCCATGTATTATATTATTGAGTCAATCATATAATACATTAACCGTGTTTTACCTGAACCTCATCATGAGAGGACGGCAGGTTTGTAATTTCCTGTGTTCAGTGAATGCAACAGAGGCAAGGCACCAGACCAACCAGAGAGTTGAATGGAAATAAACATCTGTCTTATTGGCTGACAGGTACCTATCCTGTGAGCTGTGACAATGTTTAAAATAAACTGTCAGTCGAACTCAGAGTTTTTGAAGATGGACATAAGAAAGTTTTTTCTTAAAAAATACGAAAATTCACAAGTGGTGGCTCACACAACAACCCCAGAGCCACCACTTGAGCCAGGTAAACAAGGTATGTAAATGTCAGTAAACTTCCAAGTTATGCGAACATGTAAGCAAAGCATAAATTACAGCTACGTTGACGTTACTTTGAATCGTGTGGGTAAGCTAAACCGTTAGCAAGTAGCTATAGCTAGCCAGATATATTAAATAAACACTTTGTCATACAATCTAAATGTAACGTTTTTTAGCGTTACCTGGGGCCTCATTTATAAAGGGATATACGTTAAAAAAAATGGCGTACGCCAGTTTCTACGGAATGTTTGCGATTTATAAAATACTAATTTGACGGGGAAAATGTGCGGTCCTCCACGCAAACTCTAACCCAGTGGTTCTCAAATGGGGGTACGCGGACCCCTAGGGGTACGTTGGAGTACTGCAGGGGGTACGTGAGATTTATTTTTATGTTAATTGAAAAAATTAATAAATACCAATTTTAGGAAAAGTAAGAAAGTTTGAGCAGAGTGGGTTTATATTAACATATTTCAAAACGCGAAGTGTAATAACTGCAGTGGCCTCCCTGTCAGCATGACAAAGATCCTCAGTGAAGCACAAGCCCATGTTTCTCATTACATTGTAAGTATAACTTATTAAAAAGATCAGTTCAATGCAACTAATGTCGTCTTAGTGTTATTGCATGATGTTAAAATTGGTTTCCCATGAATTTAGTGATGGATTGTAAACATTTGAAATGTAGCATTTAAGTGTTTCTCAGTTACAAGGTTGTTGTTTTAATAAATCAGACACCGATGGTGCAGCACTGTACTGTACCTCTTTATATAGGCATTTCTTCCCTAACAAATTGTTTTTGCGCTGATCAGGGGGTACATGGCTGAATTTTCTTTTCAAAGGGGGTACATTATTGAAAAAAGTTTGAGAATCACTGCTCTAACCCATGCGTACGCACTAAGCACAAAAACGGGAGAGACGAGAAACTGCGACACCGTTGGCAGAAGGAAGAATGGAGAGAAATATGTGGAAATAATACCATAAATAAAATGTTACCTCTCATTTATCATATATGAAGAATTCATTTTCAAACATTGATTAAAGCCAATCTTAAAATGATTAAACAAACGCCTGTTTGCGACTCCTCAGTGCACACAAAAACATAACTTGGATAAATAAATAAATGCGGATAAGTTATTTAAAACCACCTCGAATATGTTGTGTTAATGTTATGAAATGTTTTCTCATAAATGATGCGGTAAGCAGGAGGACAGAATTACGTCTAAACTGACGTCGTTTTGCATTTCTATAGGTTGTAGATACGAGCATGGTTTTATACTATCACGTTTAATCGTGTTTTATGCCGTTTGCCAAGACTTGATAAGTCGCTCGTAAAACACAGGAGGTATGGAAACTAAGAACACCATATGTGGTAAATTGTACAGCTAATATAACACAACACATTAGTTGTATTTCCTTTAACTGGTGGATTATGGATATATAGTTGCTGATCGAAAGCTGGAACACAAACCACCAAATACAAAAAAACAATTCAGATCCAGTCGTCATGACTCCACTCCGGAGGGATTCCCCGATCATTTCTTAGAGTTTCTCATCAAGGGGGTGTCTCCTGTCCCCGGTACAAACACACTGCCTGAGGAAGGTTATGTGTATTTTTGTTGTCATTAACCTTTTTCGGATCACTTATTTATTTTGGTGACGATCCGACCTCCATGCTGCTACTCTGGTTCAAACTGCATCCACCAAACAATATGATTTATCTCGACCTCCCCAAAATAACCAAAATCTGACACGGTGTGAGATGTCTTTTTTAGCTGTTCTGTCGTAATTTCCTGCGATCTTCTTCATAAAGTCAGTCAAAATGAATGAATGAATGGGCGTTTCTTTGACTATTTATAGGTAAATATGGGCGTTACGTAAAGCTGCGCCGCATTTCGAGTCGATTGTGATTTATAAAGGGAAACAGGCGTAGGACGTGCCGTACACACTTCCCTTGCCGTTACGCAATGTTTTGTGAATCGGAAAATGTCTGTACCTATTTTTTGGATTTCTACTACGTAAGCAACCTTCCCACGTGAATCCTACGCACAGCGTTATAAATGAGGCCCCTGGTAATTTCAAAGAAAGCTCAAAGAAAATGTTGACTTACTGTTCGACATGAAGCTAGAAGCTACCTTACAGTACACAGTTGATCCCGAGTCCTGTCAGTTAAAGTGTTTCATAGTTAGCTTAGCTAAGCATCAACCTAGCACTGAAATATATGGATGTTATGTGACAGTATTTCTGAGAAAAAGTCAGCTGAAATGGCGGCATAGTTGCCACTGCTTTACGTGTCGACAGCATGTTTGAACGTATTTGCAGCAGTCAATGTGGCTTTTTGACCACTGACGTTGCCATAACAACACCTGAATTTAAATGTGCAACCTCTCTTTGTGACAGATTTTTGCATGAAATTATAATTCTTCTGAATGTTATTCCTATTGACAGCTAGTTTATATGTGAACATTATGAGATGGACAGCCAGAGAGAATACATGAAAAACAGTTATGAAATACTATATGACAGTAAAACAAGAATACCGTTTGAAAGGGGAGTGATTTGTAAAATATCCATAAAGGAAAATCTGTTTACAGTTCTGTTTCATATGGGTGTTGAGAGATGTATCCATAGATCTCTTAATTTTGCTCTCAAAGTGCACCAGATTGATGCTTTAACTTCAATATTTAAAAAAAATCTTCCAGGGGGAGCATGTCCCTGACCCCCCTAGAGGAGGTTAGGTCCATGGTGTTTACATGCTTATTTATACAATTGATGTGCTTATGCTAACATCATAAGACAAAAGTTAGTTCCGTGTTGTGTGTAGTGAGAACGCGCTAGAGTGAGGGGGGCCCCTAAGCCAAAGCTCGCTTAGGGCCCCCAAATGTCTAGGGCCGGCCCTGGTAACCACACAGGTGTAACATTATGCACACCAGAATACACCCCACATCGTTAGATAATGCTTAACCTGGTATAGCTGATATGTTTTTATAACGCCATTATAAACCAAGCTGTCTTTTCTTACAGATTCCCAGACCCGGGGCCATGCCGAGGCTGGCCCCGAACACCTGTCTGATGTTCAGCTGCTGGCCGGACAAAGTGTACACGGTGTTCTGAGAAAATGTCTCCGCAAACAAACTGTCTTCAACCGGGAACGGGTCGTTAACTTATCCTGCACAAGTCATGGTTGGTAGCTACATACAGTCGCTCATTTGGTGTAAAGTCTGCTACTCAGTATTGTCAGGGTTGGGAATATACAAGGCTTTTAATTTGACATTTGAGTAAAACATACTTAGCTTCCGGGTTACAGGACGTGACAAGAAATGAATTCTGAAACACTTTGCACCACACAATGAACAGTCTTGAATAATTATGTAACCCTTAAAAAATATAAACATGAAACACTTTGCTGTTATATTTTAATATACTTACTTGTAGCCTACTTATGTAGTACACTGTAATAGTAAAGTGTACCACTACTGCATAATATTATATAATTTGTATTATTCTGTTATGCTGTTGCACTAAACTACTATAATACTATTTCACTGTAAATTATGTTTTATATTATCCTTCATTGAAGTTGATTCTATATTTTATTGTACAGCATTTCATTTATGATGCTATAAAACAGAGATGAGCAGCAAATCCCCAAATTAAAAGCGATTTAAATGATTTATCAGTAATAATTTATGAGTAAATAAATAGTTAATATAATTAAGTCATTAGATCACCCAATTGTGTAAGTGGTATCTTTGCATCAAGGCTGCCGTTCAAAACACACAAAACACATTTATGTTCCAGGTTTATTTTAAAAATCGTTGCAGTCTCCTCACCTGTTTGTTGGAAAACAAAACTTAAGTAGAGTACCACTAAGACATAACAATTGTTCACACATAACTTTACATCAATGACAAAGATGATTTGACAGGTGTATAAAGTGTAGATTTGAGCACAGATATGTTAAATAAAGCTCTTCATAAATCAGCGCATCCATCTTACAGAACACAAGAACATGTAAAGAAATTCAAACACAGCCAACTGAAATGTAAAGTGTTCGACCTGAAAAGAAAATCACAAGTGTCTTCATTCGTCTGCTTGTGTTGGTCGACATCACCATTTTCTCAATGGAGTGAACAATAACAACCGTTTCATGTAGACTACAGATATATAAAGTCATTCTGCAACAGACAGAACACCTCTGAACCTCTTGATTCTTGAAGTTATTAAAAAATAAATAATTATTTTCATCATACTGACGTCAGTAGCATTACATCCATGACAAAACCACCCTTCTCCCCTCAGGCCTCAATATGTGCAAACTGCAAGGGTTTTAAAAAGGTAGCACTGTAAGCAAGGACCTTTAAAACATAAACTACTGGGAGGGCACAGGCCAAATATCGCAACGGTAATGAAAGGACAAATAATGTATCCGCTTTGTGATTTGGATATGATCCAAAATGTAATGTTCCTTAGCCCATGCTACACCTTTCCACCAAGTTTCATGAAATTCGGGCCAGTAGTCTTTTCGTTATCCTGCTTACTATCAAACAAACTGCAAGCATAACCTCCTTCACTCATTCAAAAGTGCAGCATATGTAATGATTTCAAAAGTACAATAATCTTAGTATTATTTTTCAATTGTGGAGTAAAGGGATACAAAAATAGATGGTCCTTAAACCAAAAAAAGAAGAAGACTATTCTAATTAAATCTGCTATCGTCCAAATACTAAATACTCTTTCAAGGAACAATACTGAGCCAGGACATAAATGTACTATCGGAATGAACATGGATTTGCAGTGAAATGAAATAACTGCATATTTCCGTTTCACAAACATTCTTACTTGTCAAACGTTCCTCACAGAAACAAAATGACTTTAGATTAAACTGGACAGAAATTATAACACTCTGCTTTAGGATTTAAACATTGGTCTTAAAACACCAACGTTCTTTTTGATTTGTTAAGACACATATGTCAACATAGTCAGGCTCAACAAACTTCTGTCACAGAGTCTTGGTGATTTGGGTGCGAGACACTTGATAAAATAGCCAGGGCTCAGACAGATTGATTGTGTCTTTCATTAAAATCAACCTATTATCTCCACACAGCCCAAAGTGCACCTGTTAAGGGGACGAGGAAATCTTCTTGACGTTTCCTGCTGGGTATGAAAGGCAGTCAGCTTTGTTTTGAGCAGAACTGAGAGCAAGTCCAAGTCCACACAGATGCACAACAAACACCCACACAGAAAACAAAAGCCAGAGGAATGGACAATTAAAACTTTGTTCCAAAAAGTATAACAATTAGAACCATGACTATGACGAAGAGGATCAAAATGACCAGCATCTTTCGGTTTTTCTTCTGATACTGTTCCGCCTGCAAAGGAAATTAAAACAAAAAATGTCAAACACTGTATTTTGCTGTCTTTTCATCTAATGAATGAATGAAAGGCAAATCATTGAGCTTCTTTCCATCATGCAGTGAATTGAGATCAAAACAGAGATGATTGTTTAAAAGGTTTGTAATTCATGGTAAATTAAAATCATAACGCTATCTTTAGTCGCTTAAAATCGTCTTTTTGTTTTCCCCTGAAGTTGGAAAAATTATTAGCATCTGTACAAGTGTGACAAAAGATTTAAAAAGAATGGTGACTATCACCTAGCTAAAAAAGTGAAAATGTGTATCAGGACATGAGCACTTTGCATTTACCTTTTGTAACTGTTTCACTCCCTCTTCTGTTTTCACACAAGCCTGCTCCACATTGAAGTCAATTCTGTCGAGAACGGTGCCCTATAGGGAAAATAAGAGTATTGTTAGCAGAGGAAAATCATTTTAGTTATTTTACACAAAGGTAATGTGGTATTTAGTGATAGGCAGTGACTTCAGTAGTTCAGTAATTGTCCTTCAAGCTCTGTTGTTACACATATGAAACATCAAAATGCTTTAATTGTGGAAGTCATTAGGGCAACTCACGGACAACCTCATGCCATAATTCTTATAAAGCCTATTTATTATTTCTGTGTGTTATTGTGTCAGGACTTCTTAAAATACCTGTTCCACCACCATTCCAGCCAAGTCCCGGAATATCTCATTCAGATCTGAGATGGACTGCACTATCTGTCGGATCTCCCTCTCTCGTTCCTCCACCATAACTGTGTTCTGCTCCACCAGCATCAGCTGGTCGTCTGTGAACCCCTGATTGAAAGAATTAATAGAAGTAGGTGATTTTATGTAACACAATTAGACATGTAATCTCCCTCTTAAATAACACACATTATGTTTTAATTTAACTGAAAAGGAAAGAAAAACCAGCATTACATATTTTGTTCCACCCATATGGAAAGTGATAACATGACACAGTAGACCTGCATTAATAACTCAATGGGTATTAAGGCTTTTAATGGATGTTGCTTTTTCTTATCTTGTCTGTCTCATGTTTCTAATATAAAGTATCCCCTTTAATTGTTCTCTATTAAACTCTTAAATTAGGTTTACTTGAATGAGTAAATACATGTTATTGGATAGTCACCTTGTCATATACAGCTAAATCTTCATCCTCTTCCATTAGGGGTCCAGAGTCAAAAAAGTGCTTTGATCTCTCCTCACGATTCTTCATACCTGGATTATAAACCAATAATCAACCCAAACGAACAACTTGAAGATAAAAACATGAGCTATAATCTTGTTAATTGTTACAAATATCTGAGAGGCAGGATGAGAATTCAGAAACACCAATCAGCAGAAACTCTGCATATCTTCCGTCGCAAACTGAAAACGCATCTATTTAGATTGTACCTTGGCGATTAAGTTCTTGCAGAAAAAATAAAGTACTTTTAATACTTACTACTTCATGTAGGCCTTGTAACTAATTCATCAGCACTAACTATGGTATGATCTTGCCTGAAGTGAATATATCTGCACTTCCCTTGTTGTTCGGAGTTGGATTCTTTATGGTTTTTGCACTTATTGTATGAATAAAAGCGTCAGCTTAATGAATGTAATGCAATCATAGCTTCCATGCAGTCCTTACGTTTTAAGTAGCCGGACTGCGTGTGCCTGAAGTTGGTGGAGAGCTCCTGCAGGCTCTGAGCCAGCGAGGACACCACGTTTCTCAGCAGCCTCTCCTCCTGCTCGGTACAGTGGCCACAGCGAGTCTGCAGCCCCGTCACAGCTCGCTGGCACCGGTGAAACATCTGCAATCAACACAAAGATAGTGAGTGAACAGCTACTGGTTTCCTTTCAAACACTTAACATGAAATCAACACCACAGACTATTATGCTTATATGACTTTGGGCTCAAGCTAAAACTTGTTCCAGGTCTGGATAAGTATGAAAAAGGAGGATGGAAAATATTTTTTCCAAACTAGTGCCCATATTCTGTTTTCTAAAATATATATTTTCCAAATCCTAAAAGCATTGGAAAGATAGCAATTGTATTATTATTTCTAAAAGCATTATCTCTGTTTCTGGTAAATGTCTGTACCTGTGTTATCTCCTGAGTAGTGATTTCTATGGCATGCTCTTCCTCACTACTGTCATCAAGTGTAGGTCGATTCATATGCTTGTCATGAAGTAAAGCCAGATCCTTCATCTTCTGCCGAACCCGAGTGATTTCATACTGGATCTGAAAGGGAATACACAGCGGTTGAAAGCCATGTGACATTACTCATACAGACGACTTAACCTGTTTTAATATACAGGAACAGATGCATTTTTGAGTATTTGTTCTTACAAAGAGGGATACTGTATTTATATGTCAACCTTTAACAGATACGTCTATATATTTCTGCTTTAATCTTAAGTGTTTCACCTCCTCAATCCCCTCCGTCCATTTGGGAGGCAGCCTCTTTGTGACGCCGATGGCTGCTTCAGGATCCAGACTAATCCCTGACACCAGGGCCATTCGGTCGTCAGCCAACTTGAAAACACAAATTATAAATGATTCCATTAAAAGCGTTTTCTAAAATAAGTCAATATGATGATGCATCAACATGTTTTGGTGTAAATAATTAAAGGGAAAGAACAGTACCTCATCGAGCTCCTAATATGATTGGCAGATAGCAGATGGTCCCATCCAATAGAAAACAAGGAAAAGGAGAGAAGGACAGAAGTAACAGAAAGTTAGCCCCAGAAAAATCAGCAGTTAATACCAGAAAAGTTATTTTGCATCCCTACTGTATATAACT